GGGTTGCCGAAACTCATGGTACCCTACAGATTTTAAGGCTCCTATAGGGGTCTGGGATGTGCATCGAATGGTGTCTCTGCTCGAAATTGTTAATTTATACTGGGGGCTGGAAGCAGAATAGATATATAATGGCGCTCTTAATCGGCCTGTCACAGAACCCCCCATTCCCTATACTACTCTGCGACATCGCATTAGCCCACGTACAGTACTGCGTACACTTCTTACTGCCGGAATTAGAGCCCTCCGTTCATTCCTGGACATGTTTATGACGGTGCAGCATCGGCTCCTGAGATTGCGATAGGCTAGGCGAGCTCGAGTCTGGCAGGTGAAGGCAGTGGCGCCGAGTGCTCTTTACCGCTGAGTGTTGTTTTAAGTTGTTTCAGAATGGTGGCAGAGAACGGGTTTATCACCGAAGAGTTGAACGACTAGCTCCTGTATGCACTCAACAGGTCCAGCATTTCGGCGGAGGAGGCAGCATGCTGTGGAGCGGTATTTGTAGGGAACAGAAGACTGGCCTGGAGTTGTGCGGGAGAACTTAAACGCAGTGCAGTTCAGAGACCAGGTGCTACAATCCATTGTGCTCTCATTCATACAAAACCAAGCACAGGGAACGGTGTTTCAACAGGACAATGCCAGACCCCATACAGCAAGACTGACACAGGACTTTCTCATACACCACACCATTGATGCCCTTCCATGGCCTGCCCACTCACAAGATATCAACCCGACAAAGCATCTATGGCGCCATCTGAAAAGACAGATAAGAAGTCGTCAACAACCCATTGACAACAGACAAGAGCTGGAGCATATGTAGAGAGTGGAGTGGCAAAGGATTCCAGCATACGTCATCAGACGTCTGACGTCATCGATGAGACGACGTATCGCAGCACCCGTTGAGGCATGTGGGGGTCATACCCGTTACTGAGACTGACATTGTGTCTCCAATGAACTTGTATAGAGCCTGACAATCGCGTATGAGTGTTCAAATATCACTGGAAACCAATATGTTCTATGTTTCGATATCGCTGACACGTCATGTGTTGTCAGAACATCCTTCATAATGTGCTCGGTTCATCTGTAACCATTCTTCATTTCATAATATTCTTGTAATCAACATTTTGTGTGTCGTTTTTATGGATCGTCAAAATCGACCTATACTTTATTTTACCTCTTAGTTAACACTGTATCTGCTCAATGGGGTTATTTTGTCTGGTGCGAGCATTCAAAATCAGGGTTAGGATTTCGAAAGGTTTGGGAGGTGATGTCGCCATTTTCCAGATTTAACGTACCAGTTAGAAACATGTTATCCCATGCAATGCCCCTTTGTGAGCTGAACCAAGTGCCCTCTTGGATATTTCTTCGGGTACACAATTGGATTACCATTGAGTGAGTTTGTTTGAGTGTATAACTGGTGGGACGGGTGACCTCGATTTTCCTCGAGCACCCGTGTCATAAACTTTGATTTAAACATATTTTATTCATTGAAGAACAGAAATAAGCACAAGTTATCCAACTTAAAGAGCACAAAGCAGGTGGTTCGCAAACTTAATGAAGCCCTCTCCCATATACACTGAGTCAAAGAAGAAACTTCACAAAATGTAATTTGAAAAATAATGAATAATTTTTCTCTGATGATACATCTATGTATCCGAAATGGGATCCCTATCTTTCGATTCTAGAAAAACATTAAAAAACCCACTCAAACCCATCCATTCATCGTGCAAATGACGTTAGTGCCAAATCTGGTTTTGCACGTGCAGTCGATCACGTGATCTTCGCATCGAAGTTTTCTTCATATGCACGTGTTTGAATTGGCCTCAAGAATTGAAAAAACACTTCTAAACCACAGTTCTAAGGGTACTTGAAATGCCAAGATTGTCAAATGTGCAACGTGAACGTGCCGTTGGCATGTTGCAAGCGGGAAGATCAGTTATTGACGTCGCAAGAGCAATGGGATGCAGCCGTCGTACTGTTTATGACTTGAGAGGTCGTCTACAACAAACTGGCACCACTTCTGATCGCCCAAGGTTGGGTCGTCCACGTGTGACGTCACGAGCAGAAGACCGTCAAATCGTCCTATGTCACCTACGTGACATATTTCTGCCGGCTACACGAACCAGGACTGAGATGTTTAGAGGTCGACTGTCCTCACAGACCATTCGAAATCGGTTGCGGGCTGCCAATCTCCATTCTCGACGTCCATATTGTGACTTGACATTCTGTATGCCCATGTTTTGGAACGGCGGTGTAGCCCAATGGAACTGATTATGGCACTGTCAGTGTATCGAGTACATCACACAGATCTCACCAATGAAATAATAACAATTTAACCATCTTACAATCTCTTGTTCTTTTATAGTGCCCTGAAGAAAGAATGTGAAGTTTCGTTTTTGACTCAGTATAGATAATCGGTATTTTAAACATGGTAGTATAAATTAGCAACTGCGATTGTTAGTGGGGGTTAAAGTAGCGTAACATTATTGTCCCCCTGAGAGGGTACGTAAGTCCCAAAACTTCAAGATCACTTTATGTTTTCTTGTGATTCATTCCTGAGAGGTTAAAGGCGTGCAGTCTGGGAGATATATATCATGAATATAGACAAGAATTTGTCTCTTTTGTTAACTGATGAGCAATAGAGATAAATACATTATAATCATAGTCATAAGATGTCAAATCCATGATTGTTTTTGTTATGTTTCATTGTCTTATCATGGCGTAACCATGTTCAGCCAACCAATGACCACGCAGTGGACGTACAGTATTCACGCTACATTATTATAGTTTTCTGTTCACTGTATCTGGTACATAAACCTGTTTATGATAAGAGAGGAGGTAGGCACAGAACAGCTAGTCCAGGAACATTTAGAAAATAAGATTATACTTCTTACCGAGACTATTGTTGCCATCCTGTTCATTATCGTTCCTCCTCATGAACAAGAGGTGAGGTGAGGTGAAATTGGGTTTAACGTCGTGCTTGAGAATATTTCGCTCATATGAGAACGTGCATGCGTGTGTATGTGTATGTGCGGTTGCTTGTACTAGTCCAGACTTAAGCTGGTTTTATAGTGCTAGCCCACTGAGATACCATGCCGCAGTGAAGCATGTATACCCCACTCAGACACATTATACTGACTCCCGAGCCGACCAGTCCTTGTTGTACCCATTAATGCCGAGCGCCAGGCAGGGACCAACAAGTACCATATTTTAACGTGTTTTGGTATGACGCGGTCGGGGATCGAACCCGCGACTTTCCGCTCTCCCGGGCGGACGCTCTAACCACTACACCACGGGAGGCGGTCTCATGAACAAGAAGAAAAAAGCGACACAAACCCTTGATTTTATGGAAAATGCGTTTGTTGATGTGTCCAAAATACACAAACTCGCATACTTAGATCCGATATTTCAGAAAAGGCTTAGAAATAGACCCAAATAGTCCCATAAGGCTGTTAGAAGGATATTTATAAGATATAAACAGTGCAGGTTGATCAACGCTGTTGATGTGAAATACTCAGGTCTCAGGGGGAATGCTGAAAAGTTGGAGTGTTTATTAAATAATCTGCACACATACAAATCATGATTGAAAGATTATTGGAAATGAATTGATAATATGACATTAGCGGAAAATGTGATCATAGATAAAGTGACCGAAATTAACCTATTGTGAATAACAGACAATATAACATACGTGTACATGATATATATAGTAAAACACCAGTAAACTGATACTGGTCATCGGGTGTTTCCGAGATTTGGTTCGGAAATAATCTATTGATAAACGACGTGGAACAGATAACCTGCTTTGTGCTTGCTGTAGCATTGTGCATTCTATGCTGCGTACTGTTTAGAAACACCAAACTTAAGGTGTTTTTAAGGCCGAAATTGTGCATTTTTTTTGTGAACATGTAGTATATTTCTGACGATTGTAATTATTCACACGATATTAACAGTTTAAATGAGCTGTAGCTCTGCTGAAATAATAAGAATATGTGTGTTGTTTTGTGTGAGAAAACCAGTTAAAAAATGCAGCGTTGAGGTTATTGTATCCAGTGTAGTGAAGTATGTTCATCACGATTAAACTAGTTGGAAGGCTGGCTGGTCCTTTAATGCCTACAGCAGTATGTAAATAACAACAAGCATAACCGGATCCCGTTAATAGCCTCTTACAAGTATGGGTTGCTGAAGATCAATTCCTACCTGGCAATCTGTGGATGGAGCAACTTGCAGCGTCATTGCATACTGGGAAATACATGGAGAGAGTGAATGTAGTTTTACGCTGGACTCAGCACTATTCCAGCTATATAGCGGCGGTCTGTAAATAATCGAATCTCGACCAGATAATCCAGTGATCGACATCATGAGCATCGATCTACGCAATTGGGATACGATGACATGTGTCAACCAAATCAGCTAGCCTGACCACCGAAACCCGTGAGTCGCCTCTCGCGACAAGCATGGATTACTGAAGATCAATTCTAACATGGATCTTCACGGCTCATCTTTCATGAGTGATATCTACTGTATTGGTCATGTGTGGTGGTCACTTGTCTATCTTCCATAATCGGGGCGATAGGGTAGCCTAGTGGTTAAAGCGTTCTCTTGTCTCGCCAAAGACCGGGCTTCGATTCCCAAGGAGTACAATGTGTGAAGCCCATTTCTGCTGCACCCCGCCGTGATATTGTTGGAATATTGCTAAAAGTGACTTAGCCACTTTACCTTAATCATATTTATTCATCAACCAGGGTCCCGATCCACAAAGCGTTCGTAGCCTTAAGGCATTCGTAAGCCTTTGATAAACTATTAGGTTACAACATGTCGTAACGTTACGAACGATTTGTGGATCGGCTCCCTGGGCCTGAGCCTGGATAATCGTGGAGGCTGTTCTCCTCTTGAACGTCTGTGCCAGGCTATATAGTGGTAGAGGAAGGGGCACCGTGACCTAGAGCTTACACAATATCAGCATAACTGAAGTTCTTGAAGGGCATTTAGCAGTTGGACGAAAATGAATACATGACACGTTCTACGGATAGCCTCTTCTTTTTCTTTAAACGACCTTTCAGAAGTAATTCTTTCTCCTTCATTATTCACCTGGTGAAGGAGCAAGAATAAGCTCTGAAACGTGACATAAAGAAAACAAAAACGTGTCGTGTATTCATCAGCGTAATTGTTCAGTGTCACCTGCTACCATGAATATATACGTCAATACTGTCACAATACACGTTTAGATCCATGTACGTTTGACCCATTTATTGTTAACTGCCCATTGCGAACACACGCATTTAGAAGTCTCTTCAGTGATCAGGTAAGTTGCACTACAGATTGGTCATCAAACAATTGTAGATACTTGGGGCTAAGGCTGTACAATATTGGTGTTGTTGCTTGATAACGCTCCATTCAGCATTATTCAAACAATTATGTAAATAATCAAGCTAATAATAATCGTCTTATTGTGATTAATTCCTTGACTTTCACATTATGTACGTTTAATAGTAGTATTTGATGTGGCGCAGTGTCTCAAGGGGTTCAACAATCTCTGTTGTATTGAAGTCTTCATATTGTCTTGTTATGAACTTCGATCTACGAAATTAGGATACAGTGATCTGTCGTCAACCACGTCACCTTGAGTGGCGAGATCTTCCATTTAATCTCCTCTAACAATAAACATGGGTTTGAGAGGATCTATTTTCCTAGGGTTTGACATTATCATTTAACTTTATACTTTAACTAATGACTGTATTGGTTTTACCATCACAAGGGATAAATATTTCAATGTCAAAACAGTAAAGGATCTATTTTATCATGTTAATTATCATATAATAATTGAATTTTTTAAAGGAAATAGAATTATTATATAAATTTTGAATATGTTTTGTAAATAGATAATCGGTATTTTAAACATGGTAGTATAAATTAGCAACTGCGATTGTTAGTTGGGGTTAAAGTAGCGTAAAATTATTGTCCCCCTGAGAGTGTACGTAAGTCCCAAAACTTCAAGGTCACTTTAGCTCTACCAAATTTTTAATCATAGAATATTCATTATTTTCAAACATGGCTAAAACAATTGCCAGCGACTGAAGGGATGGTGTAAATCCAGCTAGGGTCCATGCAGGTAGCAAAAGTACTGTAAGTCCCCATGGACCCTAGTATGGTGATCTACCGCCAAGTGTTGGTGATCTATATCACGTGTTTATATGTGTTCTGTCTATAGTGATTTAATTTTACGATAGCGTACCAGTTTTAAATATATATCTGTGATACTCTAGTATTTTTACTGTCCTAACAGGTTTTTACGTTCTATATCATCACGATATGGCTGAATTATTGCCGATATGACGCTAAATATTAACTCACTCACTCACTGACTAATGTTCTAATCCGGTAAATATAACAGTGTACCTAATTATTTTGTTTGTTGTTTAACGCTGCACACAGCAATATTACAGCTGTGCGGCTGTGGTCTTTGAAGAATTGAGTCACCAATTGTTCCAGTCACCATGTGACATGTTGGTTTGACGTACAATGGCATCACTTTGTTTGTGTGTCCAGGAAGTCGTTACAATCATAATTGGTCTTGTCTTGGAATAACAAGATGGACTAAAGTGCATTGTAAATACATTCATAGTCAAACATTTCATTCGGTGAATTAAATATTATGAAGAATACAGGCAAGAAGAAATAATATCCCAAGAGAATTAAGATTTTGTCCATTTTGTAAGAACATTTTAGAAGATGAGGTTCATTTTATGTCTATTTGCCCACAATATGATGATTTAAGAACAGGATACATGTTAAATATTGACTGTAAAGATAGAAACTCTCTCATTCGCCTTCTTCAAAATGAAAATAGCAATTATTTATGTATGTATGCAAATTATATCAAGGAAGCGTTTATGCGACGTAGCGCATTATTATTGTGAATATATAAAATTTATCATCCAAAACTGTGTTCCACAGGAGATATCGCTTGTGTGAGATCAAACGATATCTCCTAGGAGATATCGCTTTGACAGTAGATTTTGTACAATGCCCTGACAATGCTATGACGTCATGTACTTGATGACATCACAATGCTATGACATCGCTGCACTGCAAGTGTAATTGCAGTAACATGTTCAGAGATGTACATTTTTCATTAAAAATTAATGAAGAGTGATTTTGGATGATAAATAGAATCTCACCCTCGTGTCTTCTGATATCAAATATATCAACACTCGTTGATAAAGTAAAAATATCCTCGGCAAGCCTCGGATATTTGTAACTTTATCAACTCGTGTTGATATAATTGATATCAGAAGACACTTGGGTGAGATTCTCTATATGTTCTAGTTATTGTGCACATCATACCTTTTGTATTGTAATATATATTGTACATGGGCCTGTGGCCTTTCTACTGAATAAAGTTATATATATTTCACTGGTTAGAGCCAGGATAGAATACAAGAAATTTAGCATGGCTTATAGATGTCTTAACAATGCAGCTCCATCCTATCTCTCTAGTCTTGTCAGAGAGTACGTTCCAACAAGGACTCTTAGATCAGCCAATCAGTCGCTGCTCATCGTCCCAAATGCACGTCTGAAGACATACGGACATCGACGTTTTTCCTACTTGTCAGCTATCCTCTGGAACAATATGCATGGGTGCCTCAAAGGACCACCCTCAACAGCCAGTTTCCAGTCTAATTTTATAACTTTCCTGTTCAAGAAGCACTATGCCTCAAGTGCCTCCGTTGTTTTGATCCCTCCTTCTTGTCTGAACTCTTACATCCGTATGTCCCTCCACGCAACTTGCGCTCAAACACACAAATCTACTGGTCATCCCATCCTACAAACTGAAATCCTTTGGACACCGATCGTTCTCTTACTCTGCAAATCTGCTTTGGAACTCTCTCCCATGTGCCATTATAAGCTCTGACACAACTGACATTTTTAAGTCCAGACTTAAAACCCACCTTTTCTCAGTATATTACGTATAATTTCAGCTGTAAATACTCCTGTGTAAATATTCTGTAGCTCTATGAGCATGCCTTAGGGTGTGGAAAGGGCGCATTATAAATATGCATTTATTATTATTTTTATAATCTGAATCCTGCAATGACCACAAACCCGTGACTATCCGAGTTAGAATTGGTCTTCAGATGCCCATGCTTGTCGTAAGAGGCGATTAAGGGGCCTCAAGCTCGTTGACTTGATTGACATATGTCATCCTGTCCCAATTGCGTAGATTGATGCTCATGTTGTTGATCACTGGATAGTCTTATCCAGACTCGAGTATATACGGAATGCCGCCATATAGCTGCAATATTGCTGAGTGCGGCGTAAAACTAAAGTCAATCACTCACTGCAATGACCAAACACTGCAGTGGTGGACGAGGTTCGTTTGGTTCTACTTGCATTTGTTGTTACCGTTCTTTCAGAAAGACCTACTCGCCAATACGCCATGTATCTGCAAGTATTCACTCTTCTTACCCTGGTTACCTGTGCCCTGGGATATCTTGCCAGTGGTGCGATTGAAACGGAAACAAACAGTGAGTTTACAGTCTGAACTTCTCACTGTTTTCTTCTTATTCATACATCCCAGAATATATACTGAGTCAAAAAAGAAACTTCACATTCTTTCTTCAGGGCACTATAAAAGAACAAGAGATGGTAGGATGGTTAAATTGTTATTATTTTATTGCTGAGATCTGTGTGATGTACTCGATACACTGACAGTGCCATAATCAGTTCCATTGGGCTACACCGCCGAAACATTGGTATACAGAATGTCAAGTCACAAGAATAACAATTTCTCTGTTCAATATCGTGTATGGCCGCCCCGCGCATTCACCACTGCCAAACACCGTCTCCTCATCGACTGTCTGATGCTTGTGAACACGTGGCTGGGGATTCTGCACCATTGCTCTTGCAAGACAGCGCCAAGTTCCTGCAAATTCTGAGGTTGGTTCCTAAGACCAAGAAGCCTTCTCCCAAGTGCATCCCAAACGTGTTCTATTGGATTAAGGTCAGGGGACCTCGATGGCCAATCCATGACGTTGATTCCAGCGTTTTGAAGGAAATTTCGTGTCAACAGTGCGGTATGCGGTCGAGCATTATCATGCTGGAACGGTAGACCTGGGCCATGAGCCGCCATGAAACGATCGAGTTCAGGGGTGAGCACCTGGTCGCGGTAAGCAGCAGCTGTGAGGTTTCCACGGATGACCGCACCATGCACTTGCCGCACCCGAATCTGTCGACTTCCTGTACACAACATTGGTCATACCGTTCACGACGTCGTCTCCAGACTCTATGCCTGCCGTCCGCGAATCTGAAGGTAAACCTGGATTCATCGCTAAAGACGACTCGATTCCAGCCTCTCTGGATCCATCGGAGGTGACGTTGGGCCCACAGCAGACGTTGACGTTGATGAAACGGCGTCAATATTGGCCCACGATATGGACGTCGAGAATGGAGATTGGCAGCCCGCAACCGATTTCGAATGGTCTGTGAGGACAGTCGACCTCTAAACATCTCAGTCCTGGTTCGTGTAGCCGACAGAAATATGTCACGTAGGTGACGTAGGACGATTTGACGGTCTTCTGCTCGTGACGTCACACGTGGACGACCCAACCTTGGGCGATCAGAAGTGGTGCCAGTTTGTTGACGACGACCTCACAAGTCATACACAGTACGACGGCTGCATCCCATTGCTCTTGCGACGTCATTAACTGATCTTCCGTTAGAACTGTGGTTTAAAAGTGTTTTTTTCAATTCTTGAGGCCAATGCAAACACGTGCATATGAAGAAAACTTCGATGCGAAGATCACGAGATCGACTGCACGTGCAAAACCTGATTTGGCACTTACGTCATGTGCACGACGAATGGATGGGTTTGAGTGGGTTTTGCTAACGTTTTACTAGAGTCGAAAGATAGGGATCCAAATTTGGGATACATAGATGTATCATCAGAAAAAAATATTCATTATTTTTCAAACTACATTTTGTGAAGTTTCTTTTTTGACCCAGATATATAAGAGGCATCGGTACATAATGTTGTTTCGTACTGTATATGAGTTACGACCTGTGTATGTTTGACTGCATCTGGTAACATGCAAGGTACAAGTCATTTAACATTACCCATTATTTCTCAACAGATATTTGCATGTACATAAGTATACATAGTACAGTGTATGAAGACGTCTACTGCATGTTTGACTGTTTCTAATCACCTGCAAGGCATAAATCATTTTTAACATTAAAGTGTACTCTTTAAAGTTTATAATTAAATATTGGACCACAATATGGACGTCGAGAATTGAGATTGGCAGCCCGTAACCGATTTCGAATGGTCTGTGAGGACAGTCGACCTCTAAACATCTCAGTCCTGGTTCGTGTAGCCGGCAGAAATATGTCACGTAGGTGATGTAGGACGATTTGACGGTCTTCTGCTCATGACGTCACACGTGGACGACCCGACCTTGGGCGATCAGAAGTGGTGCCAGTTTGTTGTAGACGACCTCTCAAGTCATAAACAGTACGACGGCTGCATCCCATTGCTCTTGCGACGTCAATAACTGATCTTCCCGCTTGCAACATGCCAACGGCACGTTCACGTTGCACATCTTGCAATCGTGGCATTTCAAGTACCCTTAGAACTGTGGTTTAAAAGTGTTTTTTTCGGTTCTTGAGGCCAATGCAAACACGTGCATATGAAGAAAACTTCGATGCGAAGATCACGTGATCGATTTGGCACTAACGTCATTTGCGCGACGAATGGATGGGTTTGAGTGGGTTTTGCTAACGTTTTTCTAGAGTCGAAAGATAGGGATCCCATTTCAGATACATAGATGTATCATCAGAGAAAAATTATTCATTATTTTTCAAATTACATTTGTGAAGTTTCTTTTTTGACTGAGTATAGTTGCCATAAAAACTGAAAAAAAACCGCGATGCCTTTTGAGTGAACGAGTATACGAGAGCTTAATTTTGAAACTTTTTAGCATAAATTATCTTTATAGAAAATTCAATTTCTCGTTTACCAAATTATGTGTATATATACCCTTCAAAAGAGAAACTATACATGCTGTTTTGCTCAATTACAGTAAATTCGTCACTTTACAAATTTCCAAAACATGATTACTCAGAAAGTGTTTGGTAAAACCACAGAGTCAGAGTAAAATGTCAGTATCTGGTGTGACCACAATGAACATCGTTAACAGCTTGGCAGTGGTGACCCATAGAAGAAAGGAGATGCCGAATGCTGTCTTGAAGAATGTTTTGATACTCTTGCTGAAGTGCTGTGTGCAGTTCTTGTAGTGTCTGAGGTGGCGGATCACGCTGGCGCAAGCATAGATCAAGAGTATCACATAGATGTTCAATGGGGAACAAGGTAACACCTGAAAAAGCCAAGGTAACACCTGAACATTGTTTTGCTGGAGGAAGTCCTGTCAAACGCGTGGAACGTGAGGTCGAGCATTGTCATGCTCCAAACACCAACCGTTGATTATTAATGAAGGTAACGGTGTGACGTTGAACTGGTCTTCTGGCAAAAAGTCGGGCATCCCATAACCAATTGCACACTGTCTGGTCGGAGATTCGGCGCAGTCCAGGGAAGTCGGATTGTTGTGGATGATGCGGCCGTGTTGTTTAAACGAAGTTGTCTCAACTGGATGTATCAAATCTTGGGCGACGTGGGTAACTCTAGGTCGACCTCACCTGGGTCTGTCATTAACACTCCCAGTATAGTTGTATCGGGACCGTAGGTTTGAGATGGTCTGTCTGGATACGCTGAAGAGCCTTACCATCTCATGCTGCGAAGTCTACAGTCATAGGCTCCAGCTCAAGGTGATATACAATTTGATGATGAACGTGCATTTCATGTAAGATACGTTTTAGCGATTCACTACAGACGTAAGTGTAACGGTACGTTTTTCTTAAATGTTTCTTTTTTCGAACGTTTTGTCGTCGACATCCATTCCCCACGTGTTGGAATTCAGCGTGCATTGGTTTCTGTCAAAAAAAATCTGTTTACATTCTGTTTTTAAACAGCGTATTTTCGAAATTTCGGGTATTTCATCTTTACTTAATTTTATGATCGAAATTTCGCTTTTTTGGTGATTATTTCGAAAACTGGAAATTTGAATTGTTTTTCATAAATGTCTCGATGTTTTAATTACTTTTTCGACATTTAGAGTACTTTTTTATATCGGGGAGCGCCAGCATTGTTCTTCTCTACATTACCCAAATGGGTATCTAAACCTGATACTTCGGCTTCAGAAGCCCCAAAAAGAAAAACAAAACAAACAAAAAACTAGGCTCTTGGAATTCATACACAAGGTAAAATTGCTGTCAGGCATCGAACGGTGGACAAAATCAACAACCCTTTCATTAAGAGTTACTAGGTACATAGAACTTCAACACTTGTGCGTTTTCATTATAATAAACCAAAACGTGGGCGCCAGACACTGCGAATAGCGAATGATGTACTTCATGTAGTGTCTTTTCTTTTTCGTAGTATAGCCTGCATTATCATACCCCACGATTTGACGTTCATATTTTACCCGTGAAGATCCGGGTCAGAATTGATCTTCGGCAACCCATGCTTGTCGTAAAAGGCGACTAACGGGATCGGGTAGTCAGGCTTGGTGACTTGGTTGACACATGTCATCGTAACCCAATTGCTTATATCTATGATCATGCTGTTGATCACTGGATTGTCTGGTCCAGGCTCGATTATTTACAGACCACCGCCATATAGTTGGAATATTGCTATGTGCGGCGTTAAACAACAAACCCGCCAACGACTTTGATGTTCATACAACTGATTTCCGACTACTGATCTCTTTTCAAGCAGTTGTATAATCAAGTGGCCCATGTCAAGCATTGACAAATAAAGGCAACTGCATGTTACTGGTAATATAAACAGTTGTGGCTACATGGTGTCAGGACGAGTCTCTCATTCCAGGATAACGCAGGCCCTGAGTAAATCTTTCTAAAACAAATCGGATGGACTGCACGGGTGGAGCAGACAGTGTGCGAAATAGTTTCCAAACTTTGCTAGCCAGGCGGGCTAGATATGCCTGAAGGTTATTAGCCCACAAAATAATTCACTAGCCCGACATTTAAATGTAGGAACTAATCAAAAGATTACAAAGATAGATGAGAATAAGATATTGTAGGCATGACACGGGTTTCATCATTAAGCTGCTAATATACTTCCCATCAAAGGTTTAGACTCACTTAAAATACTCACTATATGTTATGCATATATATGGTTACATCGAAGATAGATTTGTCCTCTAACTTGAGGGAACCAACTACAAACCTTATGCAGATGAATTGCACGAGGATCACGGATCAAATAGCTGAAAAGCATGTGTCAATATCGTCCATATGAACAGCTGCGTTTTGGTGTAAAGTTTTGTAAAGAAATCATCAATTTTCACTGATTTTTATTATTTATTGCACTCATTACAATAATCTTTTCAACGTCACGAATTTGTTTTACAATACAACAGTTCACGTGTAAACATTACCTTTAAGCATTATGGAATATTTAGCAAAATCTAGTCTAGAACTGTTGCCTGCAATAAGTAGATATAGAGTCTAATGTTTTTATGAGAAGTATATGATTTTATCAGGCCATAATCTTGCATGACTTAAAAGTGTATTATAATTTAACAAGTCGGAAATAGTGATATATTCACAAAATGACGCCATGAAAATTCACTAGCCAGACGGGCCAGTGACTGTGGAATGGCCCGACTAGATTTTTACTAGCAACGGCTAGCGGGCCAGTGGCTATTTCACACACTGGGTGCAGATACATCCACCTTTCGTGAATACCTGCTAGCATTGCTGTCTGAAAGTGATTCAAAAGCATTTGATAGTCCAAAACGAACTATGTATAGAGCTGTTGAGTCGAGATTTCTTTGGTTGCATAAGGGCATTCATGCTATTGCAATTCTGGTATCCTTTGGCACACACAAGGTCAGAGGAAGCAGATTGAGAAGGTCCACTGACAAATCGCGCCATGAGAACGCTACTTTAGGGAGAAACAAGAGCAAAGCCATCAGAAAATTGGAAGACACAGACAGAGAGTGATCCACTGAATTGTTTCTTCCAAGCCGTCCAGCGGAATCTCTGTGCTTGGAAATGAGTGGCACTTGGTTTTCAGTATCATTTACAAAGAGGAAATCCGATTCATGGGGATCTTTCATTAACTCCCCTTTACTAACATCCAAAACAACCATCACGTCCCCACAACTTAGCAGTCCGCCAATGCCGCTCTACATCCAAAACAGTTTTGACTTCTTCAAGAGTTGTTGATGAAATGTTGATGTTTCGTAGTCAAATCTTATTGGTTCCATGCCGAGCTCCGAAAAGCAATGGAATTTTTAGGTTCGATGTAATTTACGAGACTCACTAAAACAATAACCCGTGTTTCATGTGAGAGTTAGGTCATACTGAAGTTTACGTTGAGAAAAGCAAATGAAAGGAACCGTGTAATGCTTGATGTTTTCCTTTCAGAGTGGGGAACAGTGATTTCCTTTTGTACCTACAAAGGTATTCAGTTCCTGCCCGGATCGGAGTGGAAAACAACGGAATGCATGGACTGTTCGTGCTCAGAGTCAGGACTCCACTGTCAAGGGTAGGTACTAAATACCGCGGGGATTCTTTAGTCAGGGATAGGCAGATAACACTGTCGGGGCTCTTCTGTCGAGGTATGCAGATAACAATGCTGGGACTCTTCCGTCAGGGGTAGGTAGATAACAATGCTGGGACTTTTCTGTTAGGGGTAGGTAGATACCACTCCTTGGACTCTCATGTCAGGGGTAGGTAGATAACAATGCTGGGACTCTTCTGTTAGGGGTATGTAGATAACACTCCTTGGACTCTCATGTCAGGGGTAGGTAGATAACAATGCTGGGACTCTACTGTCAGGGGTATGTAGATAACACTCCTTGGACTATCATGTCAGAGGTATGTAGATAACACTGCTGGGACTCTTCCGGCAGGGGTATGTAGATAAGACTGCTGGGACTCTTCCGTCAGGGGTAGGTAGATAACAATGCTGTGACTCTTCTGTCAGGGGTAGGTAGATACCACTGTGTGGACTCTTACGTCCGGGGTATGTAGATAACACTCCTTGGACTCTCATGTCAGAGGTATGTAGATAACACTGCTGGGACTCTTCTGTCAGGGGTAGGTGGATAACACTGTTGGGACTCTTCTGTCATGGGTAGGTGGATAACACTTTTGGGACTCTTCTGTCTGGGGTAGGTGGATATCACTGTTGGGACTTATCTGCCATGGGTAGGTGGATAACACTGTAAGGACACTTCTGTCAGGGGTAGGTAGATAACACTGTTGGGACTCTTCTGTCAGGGGTAGGTGGATAACACTTTTTGGACTCTTCTGTCAGAGCCAGGTGGATATCAATTTGGTACTGTTTTGTCAGAGGTATATAGATATCACTGTTGGTACTGTTTGTCAGAGGTATATAGATATCAGTGTTTTGACTGTTTGGCAGAGGTATATAGATATCACTGTTGGACTGTTTTGTCAGGGGTAGGTGGATATCACTGGGGGGGGTAGTAGAATAACACGTCGATGCGCAGCCTGTTGTTAGCCCCTGGACATGTTTCTCCCTCTTCTTCAAAATACATCACGTACACAAACGCACTTTGCAGTTGTGAATTCTTTGATCCACTGCCATTGTAGGACAAGAACCAATATTGAGAAGCTGGTACATCTCGCCACTCCTGACACTAAATCACGGCTATGTTTAATGTTTTAAAATTTAAAAATCGAATACTTACTGGAAAATTGAATTTTAAAAGAAAGGACATTTAAGCGTTTCTACGGTACTTTAGGGGACATGCGTGGGGATGTTAGTGTGTGTTTTGTGTGTGTTTCATATCAGAATGAATGAATAACAATCATATCAAGCGATATTACATAAAAATGATAGCTGAGTTAAAATCAACAGCTTTGATTTATCGGTGATGCGACATGAATACACCATTATTATGTCAACGATTCTTGATTTCCTGAATGTTAATATCAGTGTTACGCATAAACAGATTACAGCGGCAGGTAAACATAAGATGGACACTACCGTATTGGTGTTGGAAGTGTTTTCAGTTTCAAGACATGCAGCAACATTTTATTTGTAGATTTGGCTATGCAGCAGGGGCATTTGGGCCACCTGAGGGCTGCAAGGTTGTCAATGATGCCTGTCTGGTTAGGATGGTGGATGCGGAGGATGAATTGGAGGACTGTGCGCCACCAGAGCCAAACATTCAAGAGTAATGTACTCCTGCATCTGATAAACATCAAGTAACCCTGTCGGAGTCCTTCTTTGTTTAAGAGAATGAGGGTCAATCGGGTGTAGGAAGCGAGCTCCATCGTTCGGGGTGCGTGTGGGGTTAGGTTGGGTTTATTAGATGTTGCGAAGGGGCCTGATATTGAAAATCCACGACCAAATCATCAAGGTTCGCTAGGTACGCAAACCTTCATGTACATGTATGTATTTCAAATACTAGTATATTATTGTTTGTGTGTTCTTTAACGCTGCACTCTGCAATTTTACAGCTATTTGGCACCGGTCTGTAACTAACCGAATCTGGACCAGACTATCCAGTGATCAACGGCATAAACAGCAAGCTACGCAATTGGGAAACAATGACATGTCTCAACTAAGTCAGCGAGATCTCGTTAGTCACCTCTTACGAACATCATGGGATACTGAAGACCAACTCCAATACGTATCTCGACATATATATCATAGTAAAAAGTGTATATATATTTTTGCCCAGTATATTATTTGCTTATTTACAACTTTTTAATTTTCTATGCATTCAACCTGTTGTAGATTAATAAACTTTTAAACAGTTTTTCTCTTTCCTGAAAAAAATAGCTCAGTGGTTGACAATTACTCTCCTAAGGACTTGACAATTGTCGGTGTTAAATAGTTATTGAATATCGCTACATTTCTTACGGATGAGAAAAGGGATTTGTCATTTCTATTTGGATATCAACGTCGTTTAGCTTAATGATGTATGAACTGTTCGCGAATCGATTAAGAACAGCTGTTAACCGTGTAAACTGAATGGTTTATGTGTCCCATTATTGATCCTAATGTGTTAGTAATAAAACAAAGTCAATATCAGTATATATAATAGTCCACAGAAATTTTCCAATAATAATAATAATAATAGGCCATTTATATAGCGCCTTTCCACGTCACAGGGATATGCTCAAAGCGCTTCCTGAGCTCAAGTTAAAACTATATACAGTTGGCAGGTACGGATGATTGGAAGTCACTTGTAGCGAAGAAATAGATGAGTCTTTAGTCGTGTTTTGAATGTACTTAGGGAAGGAGATGATTTTAACTCGATAGGAGAGAGTTCCACAGAGAAGCTGCTGCATATGAAAAGGTCCTTGAGCCAAATGATTTGAGACTGTAGCTCGGGACAGCAAGTAACAGTTGTTGTGATGAGCGCAGGGTTCTTTCTGGAGAGTAATGTGTCAGAAGGTCTTGAAGGTAGGAAGGTCCTGAGTTGTAGAAAGACTGGTAGGTGAGGCAGAGAATCTTGAAATCAATCCTTTCACGAATACGGAGCCAGTGTAGAGAGTTTAGGATGGGAGAGATGTGACAGCGAGGACTGGTGAGAGTGATGATGCGTGCAGCTTTGTTCTGGATTTTCTGAAGACGATGGAGTTGAGAGGAAGAGATGCCAAACAGTAAACTGTTGCAGTAATCCAGGCGGGATAAAATCAGTGTCCGCACAAGGGTGGCAGTGGCTTCTTTTGTTAGGACTTTGCGGATGCTGCCGATGTTCTTCAGATGGTAGTGGCAGGTCTTTACTAGATGATTTATTTGCTTGTCCATGCTGAGGTTTGAGTCCAAAAGAACGCCAAGGTTTTTCACAAGAGGAGAAAAAGGAATCGAAGATTGCCCAATGGAGATATCTTTGATGATAAGGTTTCGTTGTCTTGAGATTGTGGAGATGACCATTGTTTCTGTTTTATAGTCGTTAAGTTTCAGCTTGTTAGCAGACATCCAGGATCTTGTGCTCGAGAGGCATGCTTCAAGGTTGGACTTGCACTCTAACTGACTTTGTTCTGACGACTTAAAACTGTCAAACAATTGGCTGTCGTCCGCATAGAAATGATGAGGCACATGATAAGCAGACATCAGTTTTCCGAGCGGTTGAGTATACAGGGAGAAAAGAGTTGGTCCAAGAACTGATCCCTGGGGAACTCCACAGGTTAGGGTGTGACTGGATGATGAAGACGTTCCGATGTGAATGGACTGGGTTCTGTCTGAAAGGTAGGATCTTAGCCAGTCAAGAACTGTATTAGTCAAACCAAATTCTTTCACCAAACGCTCAAGAAGAATTTCATGGTTAATTGTGTCGAAAGCCGCAGATAAATCCAGGAGGACAAGCAAAGCAGATTCACCATGGTCGACTGCAGATCTGACAGAGTTCAAGACATAATTTAGAGCAGTTTCTGTGCTGTGAGCCTGCCTGTAGGCAGATTGGTAACAATCAGTCAAGTTATGCCCAGAAAGATGATCCGAGAGTTGTTGTTTGACTACTTTCTCCAGAACTTTAGACATGAACATCAAATTTGAGACAGGACGATAGTTTTTTAGACTCTGAGGGTCAAGCGTGGTTTTCTTGATGAGTGGTTTGACTACAGCTCGCTTAAAGCATGATGGTACACAACCTGATGATAAACTTAGGTTGATGATCTTGGTAATGATTGGCAGAATGATATCCAGTATTTTCAAAAGGAATTTTGTCGGGATAGGATCAAGCTCACATGAAGTTGGTTTTGACGAAAGCATTATTTTCTTGACCTCAGATTCTGTTACTGGACGGAATGAACTGAGCTGGGTACCAATGGGCTCCCCGAATACAACATCCTCAGAAGAAGAATCAATATCACCTCGTAGTTTCGTGATCTTCTCATTGAAGAAGGTGTTGAAATCCTCTGCCAATGTCTTTTCCTCGCCATGAGGAAGTAACACTTCCTTAGATTTTCCAAGGATCTTGTGGAGAGAGCTGTGTAAACGTTTTGGATTTTCTGCAATCCTAGAAATTTCCTCATTGATGTAATGGGCGCGAGCATTCCTGATTTCTTTGGCAACATTGTTTCGGGCACATTTGTACAATTGTCTATGGATCTCCAAGCCAGAGATGCGCCATGTGCGCTCAGCAAAGTGTCTCTTCCTCTTTGCCTCACGGACTTGATCGTTGTACCACGGTGATGCTTCATGATTACGCATTTGCTTCAATTTAACGGGGGCGTGTTTATCTAAGACGGCCGTCAAAGTAGAGTTAAAGAGATCAGATAACTCGTTAACGTCATCAGATGTGTTAGAAAACAGACCTGAATTGCTCAGATCGTGACAGAATATGCCAATGTCAATTTTCTTCAGGTTGCGAGCTGTGATGAACTCGGTATTCGGAGTGGGTCTTTGGAAATTCAGAAGGAAGGAGATCATGAAATGATCGGATATCTGCAAATCATTGACTTCTAGGTCTGTTACCAGATCATCAGATCCTGAGATAACCCAGTCAAGCACATGACCAGAGCGATGTGTGGAACAGCTGACATGTTGTTTGAGGCTGTGGGATTCCAGTACGTTGAGCACTTGCTTAGTTAAGGAATTTTGTTTGATATCATAATGGACATTAAAGTCACCCATGATTACACAAGATCCAAGTTTGGGACTTAGTAAGTCACAGAGTGAAGAAAATTCATCGCAGAAGTTTGAGTTAGTGACGTTATTCACTCTTGATGGTGGGGGCCTATAGAGACACACAATTTTAAAAGATTTTTTTACCACAAGTGACAGTGACAAGCAAATATTCAAATGAAGCAAAGTCAGTATGTAGGTTTGACTTTTCAATAATCAAATCCTTCCTGTAGATCAGTGCGACACCCCCTCCTCTCCTGTTTGGTCTAGGTACATTAAACAGTTTGTAGCCTGGCGGGGTAATTTCATGGCATTTTGACTCATCACCGACGGCAGCTAGCCAAGTTTCAGTGAGAAAGAGCAAATCGATGTCATGATCCAGCATATAGTCGTATATTTCAACTGTTTTGTTTTTGCAAGATTGGGAATTAAATAGATGAACTTTAATCAAATCAGAAGGTTTTGAATTTCCACTTGACTGAATTCCAGGGACATGGGTTGAAAGCTGGTTCATTGACTTATCCAAATTACTGAACACAGCACCTGTTGGTTGATTGTTCTTTTGTTTGCGTCGTCCACCTCGGCTACCCCTCACAAAGGGGCTGATACCCAGGTGCTTGATTAGTTGATATACATCAGGGTCAATCCATTGTCTTTTCTTCACCTGCTTGCCTATAACAATTAGTCGGCTTCTATTCAACTCAGGCTGGCGCACTCCCATTGTCACTGGGCTGTGAAAGACGCTTGCTTCCCTGATTGTTGAACAATGGTAGGCCTCACTGGTTTCAAATATTTGGAAAATCCAGACAAATATTGCAGTGAAAATCAACATTTTCTGTAAGTACTTTTTGCTTCAAAAGTCACAAATACACATGTCTGGATATGTTAGGAACACCATGAACAGTTTTCAAGCAGATCCGCTGAGAATAAACAGGGTTTTTCCAGGAAAATGTGGGAGCTCAGGTGAAATGCAGCCTGTCAGGCGCAGGTAATTGAATTCTTAACAAAACTTTACACCAAAACGAATCTGTTCACATGCACGACATTTGCTCATGCCTTTCGCAATTTGAAGCATCATCCTTGTGCAATTCATCTGCATAAGGTTTTCAGTTGGTTCCCCCAAGTTGGTGGAGAAATTCATCTTCGATGTAACCACATACATATACATAACATATAGTGAGTGCTTTAAGTGAGTCTAAACTTTTGATGGGTAGTATAGTAATAATCCTTTAAATATGCAAAATCTGCAAATGGATTTTGGTTAATTTGCAAAAAAACAACAAATTACTACATGTTTTTTCTTTATTTTTTACAAAGATAACAGGAACATTTGATAAATGACGCTAACCAATTCATTTCGATGATTGATCGGTTGTTATGGACCAATCATCAATTATAAGATTTTAACCAATTCCCAACACTAGTATACAATATCTCTGAGCTAAAGCTAAGTTCTGTAATAAGTTGTAATAGTTTTAGTTTATATGAATCATTTCACTGCTAGTCTTTGGAGATACATTACTGCAATCAGTAGTTATAATCGACACTAATAGCCCACTTGTACAGGTATATGTTGGTCGAAATCGGACGGTTGCTTAGAGAGTTACGGGTTTTTGAATTGTATTTGAGGGCTA